TTGTTACAAATTACTTTAGATACAGTTGTGTGCGTAAGAGCGTTCTTACAATAAGTTTAGCGTAGGTTTGACTTCATTTCAGTGTATTTTGAAATGTACGCAGCGCTCCGTCTATTTCTTTGTTGGTCTAAGATCAACATTTAATTTTGATATAATGCCAAACAGATTCCAGCAGTCTAGATTAAGGGTTTATACACATTGTGCTGCGTAACGCTATACGTTGGGATACCAAATCTTAAACTTCTCTTGTAACAACATTAACTGTTATTAACTAAATTCATAATAAGTCTGCGGTATCAAACGCACAGTGCGTATAACAGCCTAAAACAAAGTAGTGATGTATTCTTTGCAATTTTTTGACAGTTATGTGAATGGAGTCTATTTAACAACAGCATCGAGTTTCTTTTCACTCGTTTCTCGCACACGAGGGATTTGATATAACATCGATTTTATTTGTACGTCTTATGAGAGATGATAGCCTCGAGACAAAACAAATAATTTCGCTGCAATAATAATCGATTAAACGAATTAAATCCGTCGCGCACGAGACGGCTTAATCTAAATACATTATCAAAATAACTATAGCTAAATGTTCTGAAACTGATATGCCTTCTGCGGTGTAACTTTGTTCTTATCAACTAAGAAATTCGCGTGGCAAGTCAGTGTTGAAACATTCACCGATTGGCACGACTAAAGTTACACCATCCGTTTTGAACAAAAAACGTCCGTGTTGTATGATTAATACCTTGATGAAAAAAAAATAGATTACAACAACTAGTTTATTTATAGAAATAAAGAAAAAGTCTCCTAAGGGTGTATTCACACTGAGCGCTTTGATCACGCTGTCACTTTGACAGATGTCAGTGGTCTGACAATGACATTGACAGTTATGGCGTTAAATAAATTGACAGTAAAATAAACTATGAAGTTGTTTATGCAGTGATTTTAGCGCTCAACATCAACTACCCCTTTTATTAGTAAAATAAAAAGCACGGACTTTATACAACAACCTAACCTATCCAGTTCTAGTGACGACACGGCGTCCGTCTATTGCACAATATTTACACAAACTTAATGGTGTATCGTTGAACAGGTACATTTGACGAATATATTAGTTCTACAATATAATGTTATCAGTTACTTAAGTGAGCGGCGCGTGTAGCGCCGCACTGTTTCATAATCAGTACTTATCGGCTAAAGCGGGACATGGGGCGAAATTGATTTCAATATGGTATACGTTAATACGTTATATTCCATTGAAATACATAATAATAAATATATGGGCGGTTTTGCATTGGCTATCTACTCAGCTGCGTTAGTTTACTGTACTCGTTCAAGGAAGTAATATGATACTCATGTCCCTGCGAATGGAGACGTACGAAATTATTGTAGTTTATAAACAATATATTTGTAGCCTCAGCGGCGAAAATAAATGCAAGTGTAATGCTCAGCGCATTTTCTAATTTACTTCTGCTTTTCCTACTTCTGAAAATGTAGATGTCATGAAGATGGTCCAAAATGAATTTATAACTGGTATGTAGAAATATTTACTAAGGTGAAATATACCAAAGTAATTGACTTCGAATAATGACATTCCAAATAATAAAACAAAATTAAAATGTAACAGTAGTCAAACAGTGATGTTAAGAGAAATTTGAGGGTAGATGGAAACTTGCACTATATAACAATTCACACACATATTGCTACGTTTTTTTATTTCTCTCTATTTGACTATTATATAGAAACAATTATTGATTCGAGTAAAAATGGATAGATTTGTAACGAAAACAAACTGGAAATTCAAGGTAATATAACTTTGAAAGATCGTAATGCAAATGATTTAAAAAAAAACTGCATTACCATCATTTCACAAAAGTTTGTACTTGATTACCTGTTCACCTGTGATTCGTTAAAACCATAATAAAAATATTTTAAATTAACTCTGTAATATTCCTTTCAAGTTAGACTTTCCTTTTTTTACTTTTTAAAAACCAGTGATTGACCACATCCCACCTGGTGGTAAGTGGTGATGTAGCCCTAGATGGTAAATCGCACTGTTTTAGTGTAATAAAAGCCTATTACAAATTGTGAGCTCGTATATTCGATTTCAGGGCAAGAAATGATTTGTTTGAAAGTTTCTGAAGATTTTACAAAACTACTATAACAAAACGAAGTGTGTACTCCAAAAAAGCTAGAAAAAATTTATATGACGCGTTATTAGGGTTCATTATTCCATCGACTATATTGGACGGATACATAATTGCTCTACCAAGTCCTGCGACACTCGCGAAACCCCAATAAAGAGGACAATGTTTCAACACCAATTCTTCGGAAGAATAAATATAGGAATACATATTTATTTACCACATTTTGAACTATTCATATGTTTTGGCACTGAATGAATGATCGTGTTACTTACGTCCTACGCTAATAGAGACAAGCCTTGTGAGGAATGCATGTACGTCGAAGTTTTTTGATTGATGTGGATCGATAAACAACTTGCAACGCCCGCAGTCTTTTGCTGATTTGATAAAACATATTTATTATCAATTAAGCACATCACTCGGCGCGAGCAAGAAGTCCATCAAAAATTAGTTATACACGATAAAAATATAGAAATAGCTGCAGTCTTTTTAACACTTTTATTTAATACAAGTATGCCTCTATTAGTTTATATCCATTGTTTTAATAAATTTGATAATTGTTTACTGTAATTAGAATTGATTAACGTAGATTTAGTTATTCACACATTAGTTTAAGAGAATATTTGATATTTTTATATTTCCACTAAACAATTTTGATTACACTATTTACAACACCGTTACGAATACCCTGACGATAATAATAACTGTGTTTTCATGACAACGTAATCACTATTATATCAATAATGTCAAGTGTTTATTTACAAAAATATATTTTTAAATAATTTATTGATCGTAAATTTTGATGATGTTATGAGATACTTTTATACATAGTCTTACATGTTCAGTTTTTACAAACATTTTTAATCTGTATTATTGTTATATATTGGTATAATCTGTGTATAGGAAGTAATCATGTGTGAGTCACGATTTAATCGTACAAAAATAAATTGTAATTTGATCAGTTTATTTCACAACTTTTTAGTCGCTTTGCATACATATATTTGTACATGACGGTGATTTCAAAAAGTATTTGTGTTCTGACCGAAATCAGAAGAAAACAAGTGGATTTTCGATCTATGCGTATATATTTAATAGTTTTTAAAACCCTTTTCTTCGATACGGCAACACTTACTAGACGACGGATTTTTAAGTGGCACGCTTAAAAGACTAGACACGTGACACTGAATAGAAATATTTCCTTACACCAATTTTATATTAGGACGAATTCGACCTTTTCTAGTATACGTCCGAATTTAAGTAAAATTAATAATAAAGAAATGTACACGACGAACTTATATATAACACTCAAAAATAACCTCTAAATATTGGTATATTACAGTATATTCAGTAATTATCCTATTTATCAGTACTTGAATAACAATTTGTTGCCATAACGGAAATTGAACTATTATTTATGATTCATGATGTTAACAAAATTTCGTAGTTATTGCAAAATATGTATACTTAACTGGCAAGTTTAAATTTAATACTGTATAAATTATAAATATTAAAGAAACAAATAAGTAATATATACACGTAAATACCTTTGTTCTGCTAAAAACTCGAAACATGAATTGACGCTAAACCATCAGAAGCATTTCATAGATATATTTCGTCTACAAAAGGCCCTTTTAACGACGGAGAGGCCACACCTTATTCAACAAGGGCTTACGCAATATAAAATATTATATACACACATAGACTAAATTATTTTCAAGATTTCTACTAACCTATATTATAAGTTTACCTACAACCATTTTATATAATCTCACCTTTTATCCAATGAAATGCTTACAGTTTACTCAGTCAAACTCAAAAACTAGAGAAGTTATCTCGACAAAGTAACAATTCGCTCACAAAAGCGTAACTATGTCAGAGAAACTTTGTTAAAAAAATATTGTCACATTTTCGTTATTCGACGGGACACTAATTGGCACTAGCCTTAACAACGATGCCTAATATGACAATGAGTGAGAACTTCTACATAGCTTTCCATCCGTACACTATTGTATAGGAATAAGATACGTAAGGGTAATATGGTCACCTTAAGCTTTGCCGCCCTATAAACCCAAAACTAGGGGGACAGAAACAAAAACATAAATTCGTATATTATAACTAATATATTAAAAAAATAGTAAACAAACTTTGGAAATAATTGGGATTACTTCAAAAATCAACTTAAAAAAATTAATGACCATATTTATTATATTGTCTATTGTCGAAATGGCGTCGATAAAGCAGCGCCTTTTTAACTTTTTATTATTTGATTGAATATTTATGCAAACAAGGCAATAATTTTTGAATTATAAGAAAGTGAACGTATTAGGCAGATGACCATATTACTCTCATGTACGCTATATTTGTTTTTATAAGTCCTATTAATGGAAGTCACAGTTTAAATTTGACACAAGAGTCGCGTGCAACGCGACGTAGGTCTCTGGCGTCATGCAATGAACATGGACAAATGTGTAATTACACAAACGCTGTTTAATTATAAGATGTCGTTAAGTCTCGTGGTGTCACAGTCATTTTGACTTAAAGTGAAAGAGACAGCATGAGGTTTAACGGGATTTTAAAATTGAGCAGCGTTTGAGTATTTAGGCAAAAGTAATGTTTCGGACGAGCACGCGTTGCGTGTTACAAATTCTTGTTAAAAAGCAGTAGCTTCGACTTGACGGTGCTTAATAAGACAATCAGTACGAACTTTCATATCGTTCTGCTTTCGTACACTGTGATATAGGAAAAATATTTATTTTCGTAACCCCTACCAATGGAAGTCGCAGTTTAAATTTGACACAAGAGTCGACGTGTAGAGTCGACGGGTGCCGCACAAGGATCACAGACAAAGCATCGTCCCTACTTCTTGTCGAAGAGCGGCAGCTTGGACTTGACGGCGCCGTCGCAGACCGTGAGGCGCTGCTGCACGCACTTGCCCTGGTGCTTGACGTCGACCAGGCAGGCGAGCGGCGCGTCGCCGCCGGTGACGAAGCGGTCGCCCTTGTGCGTGCGCTCGCACTTGAAGCCGGCGCCCTGGCGCTCGAAGTACTGCACGATGCGCGAGATCTGCGCCGAGCTGGCGCGCTCGTCGCACACGCTGTCGGAGCCCAGCGACGCCACGTCCTCCGAGCTGTCCGTGTACACGCTGGACGTGCGCGCGCCGCCCGCGCGCCCCTCGCGCCCCTCGCGCCCCTCGCGCGCGCAGCAGCAGCGCGACAGCACGTGGTACTCGCCTGCTGCCGGGGTTGCCACATGCTCAATTCAAATCTCCCCACAATGAAACCAATTTGCAAAAAAAAAAATTTGACATTTTGGTTGCGAAATACTGTGAAAAGACTTTTAGACCTCCCCATAGATTGCAAATATCAGCCCTGTGAAGAAACCGCAATTGCCAACCCACTTGGCAAGCGTGGTTTTTTTATTTTAGTCGTTATTAGTAACTTTAAAAACAATCTAAAGCCCTATCCGCACTGCAATATTTGACCACGCAACTTTTATTCTAGCGTATTATATTCCGTGATAGTAATTACACCTAGTACGCACTACGAATAAAATTTCGTACAATTTTAGTCAATTCGATGCAGTTCATCGCTGAAACACACATCTAAAAATGAACAACAGATTTTTTTTTAATTTACCTGATACTACAGCAACGACATACTAGCCGTAACAAAAATGTTATGAACATTGGATTCTCTAATTTACCGTCTTGAGACCTATGAAAATATTTTTCTACATAAAACATCAAAGTCTGCGAAAATACAGTAAAAAGTTTTTCAGATATTACAGAATGACTATAAAATTATTCGACAATTTACTATAGCTTGTTTCTTGAGCTATTACCTATTACCTATCAAGATACGAATTAGAGAAATAGTATATTTCATTACGAGTGCGGAAAGCCTGTCATTGCAAATAGTTCCGACAAATGTCTACCCGAGCCGAGGCGCAGCCGGAGGTGAGGGTTGACAGTCGGAATAAGTTGCAATGACGGTTCCGCACGTGTACTGAACAACTATTTTTAATACAGTTGCGAAAAAGAAGCAATTTAATAAAGAAGGAACATTTTTGGAAAATGGCGCCAACCGTAAAAGAATATAAGCAGATATTTTTTTTGTTTTCTTCACCCATTCTGGATAGGCAAAGAGAACTATGCCCATACAGTCAAGTCTTTAGTAGATTTTCTTTATTAATATGAAATGAAAATGAAATTTAATGAGATGAAATGAAATGAAATGAAACCTAACCTAACACATTGAATCAAATCATTAAATCTGATATTGAAACAAATTAGTATCTTCTTTTCAGAAATATTTGCATGAATCATAAAAAATTTTTTTTAGTTAAAACTTCGTGATTGGTTTTTCTTTTTAATAGACATTATTTTGACAGTTGGGAAAGAGAACGCACGAGCTCGGAAAAGGTAAAGAAAAAGCACGAGTATGTAATAGCCCACATCCCGAACGCTATACGTCCCTGCAATACGCCAATTTTTGAGCAACTGTATTAAAATATAATTTTAGCTGGAGAAAAACACGAAATGCGCATATTTTATTTCACAGTGCGATCATCATAGCCATAAATACTGTATACTGTACAAAACATTCGTGCAAAAATAAATCTGCACTGCATAGCGTTCAATTTGCATCAAAACACAGATTTTTTTACCGCCTGTGCGACTACTCTTACAAGATTCTATGTATTACAGAAGTACAAGAAAAAAATATCGCGTGAAATATTGGAGTCCGGAAAGGGCCTACCAGTTGGGAAACGAATGTACTACCAACATTGGAGGGCCACGCAGGGCAGGAGCGGCGCGACCTTGTGCCAGTACACTCCACTCGGTCTGCTGTACAATTGATGTGGTCGACGCGAGCGTTTTTCTTATTTCACTAACTTTAAGTGCCATTTTCGAAAAATATAATACATATTATGGTGAATTACTGTCATAGTTGTATGAATTACTAAATTCAAATTCAAATTCAAATTCAAATTTCATTTATTTACAAGAATGTAGTTACAAAAAAGGTGTTGTTGCAATATTAAGGCGCTAATACATTCTACCCACTATTTGGGTGTGCAAATATTTAAATGGAAATAAGTTAATTAAATTACACTACACCAACACTACACAGATTCTTCGCGTCACTATTGTTAAACGTCACTAATTCCTTCACAGATTCCGCAATGTAATAAGTTCTTGAATATCATAAAATTGTTTCTCCATTAACCATTTCGTCAGTTTCTTCTTGAATATATTTACTGGGAGATTCTTAAAGTTATCCGGTATTTTATTATATATTGTAAGTCATAAATATCACACTATTTTTTGCTTGATTTATTCTACATGTTGGAAAGTGCAGTTTATTTTGATACCTCGTTAACATATGCGAATTTACTTCTCCTTTCTTTTTAAAATATTCTGGGTGGTATTTAACAAATAAACATACTTCTCTTATATATATGCAGGTTAGTGTAAGGATACGTAATTTACCGAACATTGGTTTACAACTGTCCCTTTGATGTAATCCGCACAAGGCCCGGATACATTTCTTTTGTGCTACAAATACTTTCCGCACCTCGCAAGACTGTCCCCAAAGAATTATTCCGTAAGAGAGTATCGACGATATATATGCATGGTAGGCATTTATTGCAGCATTCATAGATACAGTATCTCTTAGGCGACGTAATACGTAAACGAAACGATTTAACCTATTACAAGTATATTCAATATGACTGTCCCATTTTAGACCTTCGTCTACCAGAACACCTAAGAATTTATGGTGTTTTACCTGTTCGATTACTTGATCATTACATTTTATGTCTAGATTAATTTTGGTGCAATTCTTTGTATAATATTGAATTATTTTTGTTTTTACTAAGTTTATTTTCAGATTATTATTTTGTAACCATTTTACTATATTATGTAATGCTGTATTTATATCTCTCTCATATGTATTTTTGTCCGTGCATTTAATAATAATCGTCGTGTCGTCTGCAAATAAAACTGTTTTGTGTTTCACTGATCTCGGTAAATCGTTAATATATAAGAGGAATAAAAATGGACCGAGCACACTTCCTTGTGGTACACCTGATTTATTAACTTTTTTCTCTGACCTATATGAGTTTCGTGTTTGATTTATCATTTTATGAATCTCCACATACTGATATCTATCATTTAAGTAACTTGCAACCCATTCTTTAGCAATTCCTCTTATGCCATATTTCTCCAACTTAAACAAGAGTAATTGATGGTCCACAAAATCAAATGCTTTGCTCATATCTAAGAATATAGTGGCTGCTGGTTTTTTTTCAATAAAGGCTTGAATTATTTCTTTTACCATGTCGAAGCATGCTAAAGAAGTAGAACTATTTTTTCTAAATCCAAACTGTTCCCGACATAATATTTTGTTTTTATCAACATAATTTTGAAATCTTTCTAAAATTACCTTTTCAAATATCTTAGATAAAACTGGAATTAGTGCTATCGGTCTGTAGTTTTTAATATCATTTGGATCATCTTTTTTATATAACGGTTTTATAACTGATGTTTTTAGAACATGAGGAAAAGTTCCTTGCTCCATAGATAAATTGACAAGAAAGGATAACGGTTTGCAAATATGTACACTGGAAGCCTTTAGTATTTTTGTACTTATACCGTCTGTTCCTACGGAATTCGTGTTATTTAGGGATTTTATTACTTTTAAAATTTCGTCACTGCTTGTTGGTGTCAAGAATATTGTATTACATTTTTCCGTAGTCAATGTTGTTTTTATTTCAGTTGCTTCATAATTAAAATTTGTTTGATTTGTTTTGTTAATAAAAAAGTTATTAAATTGTTCACATATATCATTCATTGAGTTGTATACATTATTATTGACTACAATCTTTTCTATTTCTTTAATATTGTTTTCGTCATTAATATTATTAGATATCATATGCCATAAAGCCTTATTTTTATTTTTTGATAATTTAATAAATTTTTCACATTGAATTTGTTTTGACTTAAGAATGCACCTTTTTAGAATATTTTTGTATTTTATATAATAACCCCAACTATTTGTAAATGTTTTCCTGTAATATATACTTTTTAAATATAGCAGTCGCTTTCGTACACAACATTTCTTCAATCCTTTGGTTATCCAATTAATATTAGGTTTTCCTGTGTTTCTCTTTATCTTAACAAATGGGAAACAGAGATTGTAAAACAGTTGGAATAATTCATAAAAAGTATTAAAGCATTCATTTAAGTTATTAAATTCATGTATTTCAGAGAAACTCAATGATGCCATGCACTCACAAAATTTACGTATATTCTGCTTACTGTAATCTCTTTTTGTTTCAAACCAGGACACATTTACTTTGGGTTTAATCATATTTACTTTTAATATCTGTGCAGTTTCGTGATCTGATAAACCAAGATGAAGTACTTCTGCTGTTACGCCTCTTTTTATATTTGTCGCTATTTGATCTATGCATGAATTTTTCCTAGTAGGTGTTTTTATTAAACATTCAATATTATAGTTCTGAAGTAAAGTATTAAGTTCATCTGAAAACTTAGTTTTTTTAAGAATATCAATATTCCAATCACCGCATATTATTATTTTTTTATTTTTAGTTGCAATTTTTTGTAGTGTAAGTTGAAGTTTTTCAATAAAAATCTCTATACTTTGACTTGGAATTCTATAAACACAAATTATCACTGTATTTAAGTGTTTTAACTCTATACCACAACACTCAAAGAATAAATTACAACCAAGATCCTTTATTAAGTCTAGATTAATACATGAAATGTCCTCTTTGACCAGAATGCATGTTCCACCTCTTTTTTGTTTGCGAGAAAACGATGATATCAATTTATATCCTGGTAATTTAAGTAGCTTCTCATTTCCTTTTCTAATAAATGTTTCACATAAGCATATAATGTCAATAATGTGGGACTTACTTAATTGAGATATTGCCAAGTACAGCTCTTCTGACTTATTTATGGCTCCGGCTATGTTTTGATGTAATATTGTCAAATATCTGGATTTAGGGACGAAAAAAATTTGGATTCGATGAAAAGTTTTCATTGTTCGGTAATATATTACTATTTGATGTATCCTCACTGTTCAGTTTTAAAGTGTTTTCATTTATTGTCTTTTTAAAATAATATGGAATTGTACCTTTTTTTACTTGATTTGATTTATTTCGTTTGTTTTTTAACAAACCGCATTTTTTTGACGAAGAAAGCCTTTCTAAGATCTTTTTTGTATTTAAAAATGTATTCGAGTATTCGATACTGTCAATTTCTATGTTTATTTTATTTATTAAATTTTCAATATAATTAATTCTTGAATTATAATATTTGTAATCTTCGTCAATATCAATATATGAACAATTTTTATAGCCTCTTAAAAATAGCTTTATTTGTGCGTTTAATAATTTTTCATTTAGGCAACGGTTATATCTAACATTTAGAATAAATACCTTGTTATTTTTTAATTTACCCATTAAGTCTAGTAAACCTGAAATAAGTTGATATGGATTTTTGTCGTTGGAACCTAAGCCCAATATTAATATATCTTCATGATTCATAGATTGTATAAAACTTTCACAACTGCTTAATATTTCGCTGGAAGAAGCATGCGGTTTTGTCAAGCCAAATATTTCATAAGAGTCATTCCACTTATTTTTTCGTTTTTCCAGCATACCTAAAGACAAATTTCTAACGCGTTCATCACCCATAATTATAATTTTACGTTTTATTACCTTTGTGCTGACATCTGTTATGGTTTGTTGACAATTAGTAATAATTTTATTTTTGTCGGTACCGTCACATTCTTTATTTAATATTAGTGACTTAGTAATGTTGTAGTTCAAAGTATTTTTGTCCAAACCCATATTATCCATAGTTAAAGTTTTGAGAATTGTGTTTTTTTTGTAAGTTAGTAAATGTTTTCTGTTTAATTTTAGGATAAGTGTTGTGAATAAATATATTTTCATTGTAGTATTTTAAAGGTGAGTGCCGTGGTGTTTTAAGACTTATATTTGTTATTGTCTGTTTTATAGGCGTTTTGTTCAATGTTGTTCCTGTTAATGTTTTATCTGATTTAGTATTTAATATTAGACTAATCAAATTCTGCACTTTTTTCTCACTTTCGTGTAAGGTCTGTCTAAGATTATAACATTGTTTTGTTAGGTTATGGATAGATTCTTGTGCGGATATTAATTCGGTTTGTAATTTGTTTATCTCTTGATTCTCATTAAACACTATTGAAGTATTTGGAGTAGATATATGTTGACTTGTCTTTGTAGATAAATCCGTGTAACTTGAGCTGGATAAACTTAAAAAGGAATCATTTAATATTTCTTGTAGATTTGATTCAGACATATGTTTAGAGAGTGTTTTCTTTCGGATAGTAATATTATCCATTTTCAATTTCAAATAAAGTTGTAGACTGTATATTCAAACCGTTAATGTGTTACTATATATTTTAATTGTTGGTCAGCTGTTCTTTGTTTAATGACATTTAATGTCAATTTTATACGTTAATATCTCTAATAATTGTGTTTTATTTACGTTTTATTTTACTTACTTTTGTTTCCGATACTTTACTTACTACTTGTTAGGTTTAAATATAGTTTCTGTCTCCAACTTTCTTTGTTTCAAATTTGACGTAACGGTCGTTGTATGTGATGGTTTTGAATTCCGTATTTCCACGTAAATCGCAGGTTGTTGACGAAGATAACATTAATCGCACTTATTTACTGATTACTTGTTAATTTGAACACACTTTTTTATTAACTTTTGTATTATTAATAATTTTAAATTATAAAAAACTCGAGAGCTGATGTTACGTATGTCACTAGCGACACCTACACCTAAATAAAATTAAATTCAATTGACAGCCATGCTTGTGTTTCCCCGCATTTTTTTTTTTAATAAAATTGTTTATCCGAATGCAAATATACCACACCATTAAATTTAACAATAAAAACTGAAAAAATCTATAAAAAATAGTGTCAGAAAAATATTTGGCAAATGTATTTTTTATTGTTAAAAGTTAAAGTTACAGTCTATATACGTCCCACTGCTGGCCACAGGCCTCCCCTCATTTCTGATAGGGTTTTAGTGCAAGGAAATGACCGCCGCGTTGCCCCAATGCGTGTTGCCGACCTTCACATGCCTTCGAATTTTTTTCTTATTTTTCAGTTTCCTCACGATGTTTTCCTTCCCCGCCGAACACGTGGTAAATCAGCACTTAAAATTGCAATTAACAATTTCTGGTAATAATGAAAATAATCTATTTTAATAAATGTTTCTAACTTATAAGTATGTACATATGTCAATAAATGATAATGAGTATTATAGTATCTAAAATGTTTTATTCCCAATTTCGTGAGAACCCCTAACCTACACGCCGCCCGCATAAATGCTTACGCGGGCGGCGGCATCGCCTGACATCAAGGGCGTTTCACAACTATTAACTCTTTAAACTGTGATAAAACGCTACTGCCCATCTCCTGATTTATTTCCCTCTATCGCTTATTAGAACACCCACTCTCTCTATAAATCCGAACCGCAGTTCCATTCATCCCCTTGCTCCTACATAGAATATCTACTGTATTTCATTGAAAAATCGAAAAGCCTGACAAGAGCTCAGAAGTCCTGACACGTGAGGACAAATGCTGACATACGGTATCTGTATACTCACCCGACTCGCGCGTCTCCGTGGGCCCACACAGGAACGGCGCCTCGTCCACCGCGGCGACCGACTCGTCGCCCGAGCGGCGGCCGCGCGACAGCAGCCAGTCGTACACTATGAGGCATTCAGCGCAGATCCGCAGCCGGTCGCCGTCATCGCGCCGGTCTTCGTGCCGGTCGTCATGCCGGTCGTCGTGTCGGTCGTCGTGCCGGTCGTCGCGCTCGCGCCGCCACCAGCAGCGGTGGCAGCCGTTCAGCGAGCACGGGCACATGGCGCCGTACGCGCTCGGGTGCCGGCACAGCTCCTCGTTCGCGACGGAGAAGATGCCGCTCTCGCACGAGCCGCGACGCCGCAGCTCCGCGCTCGAATCGCCCTGCAATGTGTTATACATAGCTTTATGATATCCTAGTAATGATAGCAGACCAGCATCATAACGATAAACTTTTTAAAACTATTATAATAACGAATCGCCCTGCAATGTGTTATGCATACCTATGTCAGGCTTTATGATATCCTGGTAATGATAGCAACCTGGCATTACAACAATTAAAAAATTATTAACTGCCTCGTCGATTTAGTGTACGTAAACGCAAATGTCGATCAAAAGCAGAATCTCAAGATCAGGCTAAAATCAGTTAGTGAGGGTTTTGTCAAGAAATTCTTAATAGCAGTCTAAAGTCAAGATCAAGAGTCTAATTTCCGTTCAATAAGCTTAAACAAGTGAGAAAATAGATAATGCAACTGTGACATATACCTCCTTTAAAGCGGCCTATACACCATCGGCCATGATGGACGAATTGTAACGATCACGATCGTGTAGAGGGCATAATCGCCTGTAACTGCCAAAGATCGACAATGATCGAGTGTAATGGCCGCTATGTCGGTTTTTCGGACAAACATCGAAGGAGGTTCGGTCATGACCACCACCACTCTATTATGGTCTCATCATCATCATCATTACAGCCCTTCACAAGTCCACTGCTGAACATAGGCCTCCCCCAAAGAATGCCACAAAACACGGTCCTGAGCCACCTGCATCCATCGACTTCCTGCATATCTTACCAGGTCGTCACTCCATCTAGTGGGGGGACGCCCTACACTTCGCCTGCCGGTACGAGGCTGCCACTCGAGAACCTTTCTTCCCCATCGGTTGTCGGTTCTTCGAGCTATATGGCCGGCCCATTGCCACTTCAGCTTACTAATCCGTTGGGCTATGTCGGTCACTCTAGTTCTACTGCGGATATCCTCATTTCTGAGTTTATCACGCAGAGAAACTCCGAGCATAGCCCTCTCCATAGCTCGCTGAGCGACCTTGAGCTTCCTCATCCGGCCAGCAGTGAAGGACCACGTCTCAGTTCCGTATGTCATCACTGGCAACACGCACTGGGTGTACAGTCTCGTTTTCAAGTTTTGAGGTATACCTGACGAGAAGATGTGCCGTAATTTCCCGAACGCTGCCCAACCGAGTTGAATCCGTCGATTGACCTCTCGGTCGAAGTTGGACTTACCTAGTCGGACTATTTGTCCCAGGTAAACATACTCGTCAACAACTTCGAGCTTAGTGTTCCCAACAACTACCGGCATAGGTGTGACATGGACATTAAACATGATCTTTGTTTTGTCCATGTTCATCTTAAGACCTATCCGTTGGGAAACACTATTGAGGTCATTGAGCATAGTGCTTAGGTCCTCCAGCGATTCTGCCATAAGGACTATATCGTCGGCAAATCGAAGGTGAGTGATGTACTCGCCATTGATGTTGATACCGTATCCTTTCCAGTCCAGAAGCTTGAAAACATCTTCCAATGCAGCGGTAAAGAGTTTCGGGGATATGACGTCACCCTGTCTTACACCTCTCTGCAATTGGATAGGTTTCGTACTCTGGTTCTGTACTCGGATAGCCATCGTAGCCCTACTGTACAAGCACTTCAACACTTCGATATACCGACAGTCAACTTGGCATCGCTGAAGGGACTGCAGCACCGCCCAAATTTCGACGGAATCAAAGGCTTTCTCATAGTCCACATACGCCAGACATAGTGGCAAATTGTACTCCTCGGACTTCTGCACAATTTGCCGAAGGGTATGTATGTGGTCTATGGTGCTAAAGCCTTTTCGGAAACCGGCTTGTTCGGGAGGCTGGAAGTCGTCAAGTCTGCGCGCGAGACGATTCATAATGACTCTCGAAAACAGCACGTAGACGCGGCTCAGAAGGGAAATCGGTCTGTAGTTCTTCAAGAGAGCGTTGTCGCCTTTCTTGAAGAACAAGACCACCGCACTTCTGCTCCACGCCTCCGGTGTAATGCCACCATGGAGGACGGAATTAAAGAGCTTCTGAAGGACTTCAAGTACCGGTCTTCCACCCGCTTTCAGAAGCTCCGCTGTAATTCCATCCTCGCCTGGGGCCTTGCCGTTTTTAAGGTGCTGGAGAGCCATTCTAATCTCGCTCAGACTGACGTCCGGGATATCATCGGAATAATGTCGGATAAGACTCGCTCTTGGATCGTTACTCACACTTGCGTGCGGCTCCAACGATGACGTGTACAGCTGCCCATAGAACCTCTCAATCTCACTCAAAATCTCAGGTGCCCCGGAAACGATGCTGCCACATTCTGTCTTCAGCTTTGACAGTTGGCGCTTTCTGGCAGACAGATCTCTGGCAAAGACTTTGGAGCCTCGGTTCCGCTCGATCGCTTCTTCAATACGAGCTGTATTGAATTTGCGTAAGTCCCGCCGCATGCATTTGGAGATCTGTCTGTTCAGTTGCCTGTATGCTGTTAAATCTGTTGAAGAATGTAGCTTCATCTCCCGTCTAACAGCCATGAGATTAAGAGTGTGATCGGAGAGTTTTTGTGTTCTTCTGCGGCGGGTCTTGCAGAACTTAGCTCCGACCGCATGGACAGTTTCCACGAGCTTGTCATTCAAATCGTCCACTTCATTGCAGTCTTCTAGGCACTGAAAACGGTTTTGTAACTCGAGCTGAAAGGTTTCGGGACTTTGGAAAAGAGCACGAGGGGGACGGAGCGTTGACTTCATTAGACGAGACCTCTCCAACTTAACATTTAGGTTCAGTGTGCCTCTAACCATTCGGTGATCGCTGCCGGTTTTCACCCTCGCGATCACTGAGACATCACTAAACAGTTGTCGTCTGGTCGTCATAATGAAGTCAATCTCATTTTTTGTCGAACCGTCGGGGCTCGACCAGGTCCACTTCCTGTGGGGCCGCTTCTGGAAGAAAGAGTTCATCATAAAGAGTCCCTCTTTCTCCATGAAGTCGGCCAGCTGCTGGCCTCTTGGGTTCCGTTGCCCTATTCCAAATTTCCCTACTTTCAGCTCACCGTTCTCTCTTGTGCCTAGTTTTGCATTGAAGTCTCCCATTAACACCGTATATTGGGTTTTGGAGGAATGCATGGCTCTAGAGATATCCTCATACATTTCCTCCACCTCTTGATCGGGGTGTGCCGAGGTTGGTGCGTAAACCTGTATGACCTTCAGCGAATACCGTTTGGTGATTCTGAGTATAAGGTACGCAACCCTCGTCGACACACTCTCAATCTTTACAACGTTGTTAACGAGAGACTTGTGGACGATAAATCCGACACCTCCTTGGGACAGATGGTCGCCCTCCCGGTAATAGAGCAAGTTGCCGGATTCGAGGATTACCGTGTCCTCCCCCTCTCTTCGGACTTCGGATAATCCTATAATATGCCAGCGTAACTTGTCTATCTCTTCTTCCAGCTCCACAATCTTCTCGTCAGTCCTCAGGGTGCGTGCGTTGTATGTTGCCAGGTCCTCATGGGGGGTATATTGCCATAGTTGCCACGCTTGGCGAGCGGGTTGGCAACCGCAGTTTTTTTTTAATTTATGGTCTACATTTCAATAATAGTTATATTACAAACTAATAAAAATAAATAGCGGCAGCTGCTACTGTTTCAACGTCCATCTCGGACGGATGACAATACAAATATGTAGGATGCACGATTGTGTGGGCAGACAGTGCGCAATGATTGTGACAATCATGCCCCATTCTATGGTTATCAATAATGGCCCATGGTGTAAAGGCGGGGTGATATTACGATTCATTTAATTTTATACGTGGTAGAGCCATGCTACAGCTATATTAGTAGTATAATTGTAGCACGAATGGGTCGGCTCGACCGGAGAAGGACCACGCTCTCACAGAATACCAGCGTAAAATAGCAGCTTGACACTGTTGTGTTACGTATGGTGAATGTAGAGAACCGGAGACCCTTTTCACTGGAAAAGAGGCATTCCATCTTAGTCCTCACGGTTGACAACGCATCTGCATTTTGATTCGCAAACGAGGATAAATATAGGTGTCTATGGGCCACAGCAACTACTTACTATCAGGAGGACTGTGTGCTCGTTTGTCACCCTATACTATATAAAAAAATCATAAACAAAAATGATTTGACATCTTGTAACAAATTACTTCCAAATATTACTCATTTTAATTTTATGTCTAACTTATTAATAATAAATCGTATAATCCAAAAGCTGTTGAAGATGCAAGTTTCGGCTGCCGTAGTACTCTTATGCCTTGCTTTTGGACCATCCTCGAGCGATTCTTGGCGTAGGTCCCGAGAATCGCTCGAGGACGGTCCAAAAGCACGGCTGAATGTTCTTCATCGTCGAACTTATTCGTTCTTCTTAGCAGCACACTTTTTACTCGTGACTGCGAGATAAATTTTATTATTGCAAGTTAGGTCGTGTATAGCCCGTGTGGACAAGGAATGGGATTAGAAATGGCGGCTCATGGTGTACTTTCAGCATACTGTGTAACTAAAACGAAAAAACCTAATAACGTATTTATTTAGAAATTTTTAGTTATTGGAATAATCCGATCAGTATATTAAATCAATTTAATTTTGTAATAAAATGATTAACAACATATTATAATAGGGAGGCGGGAGGTAAATTAATATACAAATAATTAAGAAAGGTTGTCGTTGAGACTACCAAATAAAATAATTGAATCCTTAAAATAAAGGTATACTAATGTGTATAACGGTTCATTTTTGTTACTCGGGCCGGAAGCAATAAAAGGCAAAAAGCTTTTATTGCTACGCGTAAATAACGTTATTTTTTTTTGGTCGTTACCTGCAAGTTAAGTATAGACAAAGACAGTGTGCAACCGAAAGATGAATATAGGCGACGCCAATAATTGGCGTCGCCTATATTCATATAATCAATAATATAATCCCACGTGTGCACAAAGGCAATAAAGGTGTATCAAAGAATTAAAATCATGCAATATTAGACCTTCTCTATAATGTCGTAGTATAATGGTAAAAGTATAATAATTGGTTAATTATTATTGATGCGTCAATTTGACAACATATGACGCAAAAAAGATCGGATCTTTGTATCGTTTACACTAATATTCGCTAGGAGGAGAAAAAAGTAAACTAGTGAATGAGGTATTAGAAGGTTTTAGTGATGGGAAATTATGTTATATATACGTTAGTGTGGAGCGAGGCTTTAAAATAGACAGCGTAAGCTCTATGTGGTTTAATGTGAAGTGTTGGCGTCACATTAAGGCATCTAAGGTGTGACTAGTGGTGGTATAACAAGATGTTACTTAGTGAATTGGCTAGAGCAGGACCAGCAAAATACGATTTTATTAAGCGTTGTGGTCATAACAACAATTTGGACAGAGTGAGAAAACACTACATATAGTGTTTTCTCACTCTGTCCAAATTGCATTATCGTAATGTCACTGGTTCACCGATATAGTCGAGAACGCAAATTTGTGCGACCAGTGAAGCAATAATTATTGTTGCAAACATGAGACCTGAATCCGATGACGTCATAGCGGCGAGCTTGTGCAGTGTGCGAATAGTAGAGCGCGTCGTCTTACTTCGCGTATCTAACGAGACTAACGAACGTCGGACGTACAGAGTACAAACAATGGCGCACGCAGGTAGGTGCGACGTGGAGCGGGGGTATTGCATTTCCTCCAAGTCTCTTTCTTTCTTTGGAAATGGACTAGTACGATTGTACTTTTGTTAGTACCAAGTAATACAAAATTATTCTTTACAACACACTTCTTTACAATATGTTGATGCGTCACGTTACGAAGTTTTTGGGAAATTTTGGCGACAGCTTAAGCCAGCAGACAGTTTGACAGACAGACAGCCTAAGCAGACACATTATCTTTTTATTTATATTTATAAATTTATTAGAGACAAAACAGAAACAGAAGGTTTGTGCCCTACAAACTGTCTCATTGATAACACACATACATATATGTAAATTACGAAGCAGATCGTAAATTATACCTTCTGCATACAAGCAGGGTAGCAATTATATACTTAATTTAAAGGAAAAAAATATCAGAAAACTGAAATGTAAAATACAAAATATCTAATTCATAATTGTTACAATTTTTTATTTTAGTTTTTAGGTTCACATCACCATCGGAGCACTTGTTTCACTGTTTCCACTAACATTTCATATGCGCAAACATTTTATACACAAAATCTTACCACTTTACATATCAAAATCCCGTCAAACAATTATTTAAAGGAGCAGTAATCTGGCGGTCAAGTTCCCGCCAAAATTGGCAACACGCGAATCTTATGTTATTGTGCACGCGTAAACGCACCTAAGATCGTATTACGAGATATTTGTGCGTTGAGTAAAGCAAAGTCTTGGATATACTAGGGGACAAAAGGAGTGGCATGTTGCGCAACATGTCGCTCAACAATTCGTGTAATGTCCCGAGACATGTCGCGGAACATTTTGCAGGCCACACTAGTCAGTGCTTATAGAAATGTCGCCCAAGAAGGTTGTGGCGATTAGTGCTGCGTACATAGTACTTATTTCGGGAGTCAAACGTAAGCGAAAGAGAAGATGATCGATGCGGAATTTCTTGTTACAACGAGAAGAAAGAAGAATTAATATTTTAAGTGATCTAAGAATGTTTGACGAATATTTTGTTTGAATTTGAATTTTCAATACCTTCCATAGCCAAACAGGGTGCAATACTACGGAAAGCTGTTGACCCTCATATCAAACTTGCCATTGCATTAAGATACTTATCGACTGGAGATCGTTATGCTTCCTTGTTGTACACTTTTCGAGTACCGGAACAACTGATCGGCAGAATAGTACCAGAAGTTGTGGTTTGAAGTATCCCACAACAAAATATGTTCACAGCTCAAGAAGTAAAAGCACGGTTTCGTTTCCCCACACAACATAACACAACACGACTACATCCGATAACAAATGTCGCCACACTGACGCGGGACACGTGCGCTCATTTTTGGAGCGAGACCAAGCAACATGTCCCACGTCACGTAAAATGTTGCGGGCCATGTTGCGGGTCACTGTGCAACGTTACAACGTCACGTAGATTGAGGGTTCCGCGTCATATTGCGGGACAAATTGTCCCCTAGTGTATTCGGGGATTTAGTTTCACATCATCGACCGTTACGTAGGGAGATGGGTCGGGGCTGTGCTAGCTACGCGTCAATGTACTCGCAATCGGCGCCGCTCTCACCTTGTAGTGCAGCTTGGGCGTGTCGTCGAGGCGGCGGCGCGCGAGGCCGGGCGAGGGCGGCAGCGACGAGGCGCGCGGCTCGTCGTCGGCCGCGCACACCCCGCCCCCGCCCCCCGCGCTCTCCGCGCCGCTGCCCGACCCGCCCGGCGGCGGCGACCCCGACGAGCACCGCGGCGCCGCCTGTACCGATCACACAACGCTCTTTACCGTTAGTTACAACCTATTTATTAAAGTCCACTAGTGAACATAGGCATCCCCCATAGTTGCCACACTTTGCAACCACCCTTTTTAAGTTTACTTGTATTTAATTTAAAATTAAAATAACTGCGGTTGCCAACTCGCCTGCCAAACGTGGCATCTATGACAAAATCTCCTTTTGAGGAAATTTATGGAGTAAGCCTATGTTCAGCACTCTAAAATATATAGGTACTAGGAGTACATAACAACTAAAAAGGCATGGCATTCACTAACCTCGAGTATTTTGTGCACACCACGGAACGCGTGCAGTGCGCGGCGCGGCGCTTTCGGCGCGGCGTGTTCGTCGCGCAGCACCATCACGTGCGCGAGCCGCTGCAGGCGCGCCAGCCGCGGGGCCTGCAGCGGCGCCGGCGCGGCGCTCAGCGCGCCCACCGACCGCCGGTGCGCCGCGCCCCCCGCCCCCGCCCCCACGCCCGCACCCACAGCGCCCCGCCACGAGCACTCCAGCTCCGACAGCGAGCCGCGGTGCGCGCCGCCTGACACAGCGAAACACCGCCACTCTTATTATGTGCTCCTGGTACTATTTTTCGAGCACGGTCGCAAATCTTATAACCTAAGGAAAACTAAAGCTATATTCACGTGAGTCGCTGCAGTACGAGTCGCCTTTACCATGGAAGGATCTCCCCGCAGAAATATCAGAGTAAAATAACAGTATAATGCAGCCGTATTTCTTGCGATGGGACACTAAATCCTAAGACCGTATTAATAACAAGACATAGCTCTTAAACATTACAACGCCTCTGTATTTTGATCTAATCTGTGTTTTTAATAAAAGCACTGTAGCTAGTGCGCCCATCGGCCAGTTTTCATGTACTTTATTTACATTTTAACTTCGAACACTAAAACAATGTGCATCTGCACCTGCAGTACAAGACAAATCCACAAACATAAGATAAAAAAAATCGGGTTGTGGCTGTGCCGTGGACACGACTGTGTTGTTTTACGTGCATAAGTGTACGTAATCCGGATTAGTAAACTGAAGTGGCAATGGGCCGACCATATAGCTCGAAGAATCGACAACCGATAGGGAAGAAAGGTTCTCGAGTGGCGGTCTCGTACCGGCGGACAAAGTGTAGGGCGTCCCCCCACTAGATGGAGTGACGACCTGGTAAGACATGCAAGAAATCGATGGATGCAGGTGGCTCAGAACCGTACTTTATGGCATTCCTTGGGGGAGGCCTATGTTCAGCAGTGGACTTGTGAAGGGCTGTAATGATGATGATGATGATGTGTACGTAATGAAACGACCTCAAAATGGCAGCGCTCCCCCATCCGCCAGACGAGGTGCGTCACAGTCTCACAGTTCTCACTCAACTTAATGAATTCTTTGATTCTTTACCTATCGAGTGGTGTAATTAAATATTGTATGTAGATGATACATATGTAGCTGCAACACCAAACAGTATCACCCGATTTTGTTACCATCAGTTTTCTGAATTTCCACCCACTCTAGAAGCAAATTTAAAGACGTATTCACGTCAGAAACGCCCGAAGTGTATATGAGTGAGAGAGGGCAGACGTACGGTCGCGGTGGTGCGGGCTGCCCTCGGAGCGATGGCGCGAGGGCCGCCGCCACGCCCACAGCCCCGGGCACGAGCGCGGCCCCGACGCATCCGCCTCCTCGCTGCGCAACAACAAATATATACACATTATACTGCTGCTCTCCTGGTGCTCGTAACACGACCATAATTCATAAAAAAATATGTTGTATATTAAGAAAACTGTATTTCATTTTCATGTGCACATTAACACAGATATCTCATATACAAACATTGAATTAATATATACTAGAGGTACTAAAACAGACACCACTGGAATATTTAAGTTTATGTAAAATTGTTGCTAATGACTGTTTGTGCCAAACAAAAGAGAAAAATAAAATCAGTACGACAGCGCGGTGCGTAATCAATGACACAGAGTACCTTTTTATGGCACAGACTAAGTTTGAGCCCGTGTACTCTAACACTGTCTTGGCATATTTTCTAGTACGTAGTACATAGCACTTCAATGTATACAAAATATAAAATAAACGCTTTTTTGCATTGATATACATTTCACAGACTTTTGAAAACTAGCGTTCCGCCCCAGCTTCGCACAGGTGCTTTCTGGATCTCGACCACACCGTCACCGATCACGACGACCGGGTCCAATTGTGAATCTAAACCATCCAGGGACCCCGCTCAAAGGCACACAAAAAATTTCGTCGCTATCGTTCAAGCCGTTTTCGAGTTTTAGCGAGACTAACGGCCAGCGTTTGATTTTTATATAGAAGAAATTCTCGCCTTTTCCATAACATAATATGCATTGATTATACATATAAGCCTTTCTCTTAAATCATTCTGTCTATTGATGAAAATCGCATCGAAATCCGTTGCGTAGTTTAAAATAACTAAGTGTACAGACGGCGGGAAGCGACTGCTTTATACTATGTAGAGAAGGAACGTGATTTGAAATTACACAAAAATTATTACTACAAGTAATAATTTGTTGGCAACATTTAAAATTCTTTGGCTACAATCAAAATCTACAACAAAATCTATCACCAAAATCCACAATGACATTGTCACAGTCTGAATGTAAATAATGAATGTTTCATTTTGTTTTATTTAATGTACTTTGAACACACATTATATATACATTTTATTTTCTGTACTTTTTCTCCACATAATAAACATAATATATAGAAACATCTATAACTATCCTATAAGCCAATATCCAATTAACATTCGATGGACTATACTCGTTCATCACCCTTATTAATAAAAAAAAATCTGACGTAAAATTCCCAGATCCGACGATGGAAGGCGTCAAAAGTGCGAGAATTCTATGCGGCGATCAAAAATCCGTCTGCCCAACGTGGTGATATCTATTGTGTTCATTGAGTTGTATGCACTACGTACTAGAGAAGCTATTACAAACAAAAATTGTGCGCTACTCTGTCATGGCGCATGCGCGGGAGATAGTAGAGTCGCGCATGCGCGAAGACTTTAATTTAATATAAAATACTCTTAATTTAATCTAAACAAACATATTTCTAAATAAAATGTAATAATAATTATCTTATGGAATTCACAATTTACGCAATATGTAGTTTAGTGTAAGGATTGCAGTACAGTTCAGTTGAACATAGTCAATGTTCGGAATGCGAAATCTAGTGCGTAGTACATATATATCGATGATTATGTTTGTTTATTGTTATGATCGCTAATCCTACCTGAATCAAGTTGGGTCAATATTATCTTACGAAAAAATATATTTAAAACAAATATTATAATTTTTGCAATGCAGACAATTATAATGTTTTAAGACATATCGTATTTATTTTTAAACTTTACCTGTCAAAGGTGCCATTAGGCGAATGGCCGCCCCATGTGGAGTCGTCGAGACCTTCCTTTATCTCGGCGAGTTTGCTCACTATCTCGGGGAATAGCGGCCTCGCCTTAGCGTCGTACTGAAATTAACACAATACAAATAATATAAAATTGTCTAAGCAGGTTGATACAATCACTATCTCGTCTCAATTGCGCGATAATCGTGGGAATATATTTCCATGTAGTACGTAAAGAAGTTGGTGCATACTTAAAAGGTTCAAATGCTTTAAAAAAAAAAACGAGGCAACAGCTCTGAAATCACGATGGTCTGTCTTATCACAGACGAAGTTACTAACATTGAGTTTTGGTGGGAACTTGACAGCCGACGGATTGCTGTTCCTATATTATTGTTTAAATAATGATTTGAAGGAGATATTGATATGTAAAAGTGGTGCGATTTTGTGTGTTAAATGTCTGCGCGTGTGAACTATTAATGGAAACCGTGAAACAAGTGCTCCGATGGTGAGGAAAATCTCAAGATAAGGTGTATGTCTGCTTAGGCGCCTTGAGATACTATCGCTAACTGTCTGCTGGCTCAAGTTGCCGTCAAAATCTCCTAACTACAAACAACACAATGTGACGTATCAACATATTATGAAGCAGTGTACTATAAAGGATTATTATCACTTGATAATGAAAATCTATAAAACGAAGATCCCCAATGAAATAAAGACATGACAAGCAAGCATCCAAGCCAAAAATATTAACGAGTTGAATGTAAATTCAAGAAAAACAACTTCCTTCTGCGTGAATCCCATATCTCTGGTGCCCTTTGACCTACAGGACCCAAATTCAAACTCGACCGAGCTACTACCTCAAGGTATACACATACCAAATTTAAAGTCAATCGCTCCAGTGGAACGGAAGTTATCGTGTCGGCATACAGACTAACAGACTGCCAGCTAAAACCATTAACTTCCTTTCAATACTACGCAGAAGGAAGTTAATAAAAAAGTTACTAACACTGATATTTATAAATTGTAACGCTTATATGGATCTGAAGATGATGACAGGCTAGCAAGGATCGTCTCCTCTTTCATAGTTTGTACCAGGACACTATACAACATAAGGGACTTACAATACAGCAGTTAAAGGCGAGACGGAGCAGCTCGGGCACGGTGGTCTCGTCGCACAGCTCCACGAACGCCACGTAGTTGAGGCCGAAGTTGTCCGTGCGCGGCAACACGTCCGGGTCGGCGTCCACCTGATAAATCCATAGAACTTTCTTAAAACCACTTAAAATAAAGGTATATATATATATATATATATATATATATATATATATATATATATATATATATATATAGGATAGAAGTTGGCACGAGTATTGACCGCATTTATCTGCCGACTTCCAAAAAGGAGACGGTACTTAATTCGATTGTATGCTTTTTTATGTGTGTTACCTCATTACTTTTTACTGGGTGAACTGATTTCGATGATTCTTTTTTATTTGAAAGCTGGTACTTCTTGTGTGCTCCCATATGAATTTGATCAAGGTCAGACCAATAGTTTTTGAGTTATTCTTAATAACTTTTATATTGAAGTCGGCTGTACAAAATTTTCAATTTTAAATTATGTTGAGGTTACTTTGTCTATATTCAATATTATTAACCTATTACAAAATCGAATGACTAACTTTTGGACAAATTATGAATCATCTGGGTTACGATTTATCGTAATATCAATTTATCCAAAATATATTAAATAGACTCACCCTGGCGATAAGCTGACATAGTATGATCCCGTAGGAGAAGATATCGGAGCGGTGGTCGTACCAGCGGCCGCGGAGACACTCCGGCGACATCCACCACGGCGATCCCACGCTCGGCAACCGATATCCATTGCTAGAAATTATGAATCATATGAAAGTCCCACTTATGGTATTAAAATTATATATATTAAAGGTGTTCTTTTAAGTTTGTAGCGATAGATAGTAATATTATCTGTTATGTAGGCGAAAATATAATCGTGTCCCAGGTGCTTGGTGGTGATCTGGAAATTTTCGAGATAGTATTTCGTAATCTTGTGGCCTATTCTATAGTCAAGTTTTACTCACAACAAGAGGCTGAATGAAGGAAAAAATAATTTACTGTGAGTCGAAAAAGTTGTCATTTACTCAAAACAACTACACTCTGCGCCTAAATTGAGCGTTTTTAAGACTGTACAAGCATAAATGTGCACCTTTCGAGATCCGAATAGATTGCTCAACTCAAACTCGACACAACGACCCGTTTTGCCCCGTGACGCAGCTTATAGCACGTAAAGTCGCGTGCCAAGAGCGTCCATACACTGTTGCTATCATATGCGACGTATTAGGCGTGAACACTCTTAAACTCTTAAATACCGAAGGCTCACCTACCTACACTCAATCCCTCTTAACGACGCGTGATGTGTATGTATATTTTATAAGCGTGATGAATTAGCACGTTTTTTTTACCACACTGTCAAAAAGGAGTGTACTGTTTTGGTGTAAATGCTTCGGGTTGATGTACATAAGTATGTATGTACGTTCCTTTTTGTTGCGTGCTTAAGTCTTCTTTCGCGACCGCCTAAACAGCTTGTAGGATTTTGATGTAAGTTGGTGATAAAACCAATACGACGCTCGTAAAAAGTAACAAGGTGCTTATTAATACATCATTGCAGTTGGTTTCGTTTTTAATTTTAATAATATTAGTAAAAAAGATGTCACGTCTGTTTCAACTAAACTATTTCAAAACCTATTAATTTTATTTTAAGCTCGTATTTTTCTATGCGGGTACTTACACTGGATGAGGTATTTTCGCTGCTAAACCAAAATCTGCCACAACAGCAGTGTACTCGCCATTTCCATGCTTTTTCAATAATACGTTCTGAAACGTAAAATAACAGATAAAGTTGTTGTTTACTAATAAAATACCTGATAAAAAGGAATGTTTATCCATGTGTTTATCATTATGTATAGCATATTTACCACAAGCTATAATATTAGTAACCCCGTATAGTGTCGGCCTAAGACCCTAAGATAATCCAATTCCACTACCCTATTTACGCCTGCCAGTTTATCAGGAACTAGGCTTATAGCTCGCCCTTGGAACCGGGCCTTTAAAGGTCAGGCACACAGACACATTCTGTGTGCCTTGATTTGGACGTTCATATTATGGAGTTGAGTTACTAGTATAGCTATATGTAAAATAACCTATTGCGTCCCAAGTGATTCAAACGTATTCGTGAGAAATACGAGCATAAACTATTTGTGACAAAAATCTGTCGTATTAACGCTGGCCTTCGTTCGTTCGTTTCGTTTTTAATGATTATTTTAGCGATATTGATATTTTTACTGCCTCACATTTGTGCTTTAAAAAAATGTGTTTAGAATAAATTACAAATACTTATTACAAAATTTATAATTAATTCATGCAAGATTCTTTATACTTTATTTTTGTGATAGTAACTCTTCTCTTCAACTCGTTACTTATTGTTTATATTAATATGTGGTATACGGTGTTGAATGTAGGTACATGATATACTATATACCTTTTATAAATACCTATGTACATTTTTGTTTGTATATCTTAATAAATAAAATAAAACATTTTGACTATGTTTGTAACGTGGACCACCGTTGTTACCTTAGACGTGAGGTCCCTGTGGAAGACGCCGAGCGAGTGCAGGTACGCCATTCCTGCAGCCATATCTGCGGCGAGCGACACACGTAGCGGCTGCGGCACAGGTGCGGGTGGGAGGCCCAGAAGCAGCTGTTCCAGAGACCCGCCCTCCATATACTCCGATAGTGCGTGCAGTTGTCCTTCGTGTACGCACACGCCCATGAAACTGAGAGAAGTGAAACAGAATGAGCGTCCGGAATCGGAATGTTACCAGCCGGAATACACAGTTGTTATTGTCATCGGCCTCATTGCTGCCTAACATTTTCACTTAACTGAACTTAAGCCTCCCCGTAGATTGCCTCATAGGGGGATATATATCATAGTTACCACGCTGGGCTGGTGGGTTGTTATCAGCAAAGTGTTGCTGTCCTAATCCCTAATCCCTGTGTATTAATGGCCTAATAAATTAAAAACACGTGTTACGTGGTAGAGCCATGCTGCAGCTATGCTACTGGTATAGTTGTAAGCACGAATGGACCGGCCCGTCCAGGGAAGGACCACGCAATCATAGAGTACCAGCGTAAAATAGCAGCTTAACGCTGCTGTATTTCGTATAGTGAGTGTAGAGAACCGGAGACCCTTTTTACTGGAAACGAGGCATTACATCTTAGTCCTCAGGGGTGACAACGCATCAGCATTTTGATTCGTAATCGAGGATAGATGTAGATGTCTATGGGCCACAGCAAGCAGCAACCACTTACCATCAGGTGGACCGTGTGCTCGTTTGTCAACCTTATCCTATAAAAAAAAATCACTGGGCTGGATCTTTGAAATAGGAGTGTATGAGTAGAGATCATAATTTCGAAACTCTGTGATCAGCAGGAGAACTATGTGATCCCATATTTAATAAAATTAAATCCAAACTCAAGTACAAGATTTGCAAGACACTGATCTCATTATGTGTATATCGCATCAAAAATTGATAACTACAAGATGAAGGTAAGGTAGGTACACACCTCCACCCTCTCACCCAAAATTTCGAGAATTAAAATATGTTAGAATGAGTGAAAGTGACACTAAACGAGATAAAATCCGTAAAATTAGTTTTACACGTATTCAGTGTGTAGTATTCGCGTAAATGTAAGAAATCATTATAAAAATACTTAGTTTATTGGAGAGACCCATTTATTCCCCACCTAGCTGTAAAAATTGCACAAGTTGATAAAGAAATATTTTAGAACCGATGAAATTCAAATGAATCTCAGCGTTCCACGATAAATAAACGAAAGAAGGTAATTTGCAATCGAGTGAAAGCGTTCGTCAAAACATGCATGTCGAGAACACAGACGGAGGCGAATGGGAACCCGTGGAAACCACCAGCGGCGTTCTCTCCATTTTCCAATTTAAATAATAGACAAATATGAAACTTCAACATGAAATCGTCAGAGTAGGTACTGAACATATCTACAAGAAGAGATTTTAAAACATTTGTACATCTATATTTCTTTTATAGCGAGCACAAAGTCCACCTGATGTTAAGTGAATATGCCCATAAACATCATCTTCAATTAAGAATTAATTTTTTTTATAGGATTGTCACCCACAAATGAGCACACAGTCTATCGGTAAGTGGTTGCTGTGGCCCATAGACATCTACATATATCATCGATGACGAATCAAAATGCAGATGCGTTGTCACCCGTGAGGACTAAGATGGAATGCCTCGTTTCCAGTAAAAAGGGTCTCCGGTTCTCTACACTCACTATACGTAACACAGCAGCGTTAAGCTGCTATTTTACGTTAGTATTCTGTGAGAGCGTGGTCCTTCCCCGGTCGAGCCAACCTATTCGTGCTACAACCATAAGAGCTGCAGCATGGCTATACCAATCAATATGCAGATGCGTCGTCATCCCTGAGGACTAAGATGGAATGCCTCGAAACACAGCATTATTCTGCTATTTTACGTTGATTTGTGGAAGCGTGGTTTTTCCCCGGTCGAGTTGCCCCATTCGTGCTGTAGGCATAATGTAGCTGCAGCGTGGCTCTACCACACATATATTTTGCAGTTGTAAAACATCTAAAGAGAATTTTTTTTTTAATTTTTAACCTCCGATGTAAACAAAGGAGTCATAATCGAAAGTGTTCTTAGCTATGCTTCAAGAAAATCTATTCAGATGTTTGAAGATCATATCAGCTACTTTTGTTTCGGGTTTTTTTTTAAATTTTTTAATTCAAGTATTTCTATATCAAAAGAATATATATTAAAATTTCTATGTTTATTACTACTTAATTTAAGAGGATTGTGAAGCTGCAAATTATTATAGCCTAATTTTTATAATTTTTGGAAAAATGTGATCACATTTTACGTTTATTTTTTACATTCGGAATACGAAATATTTATTTTAAAGAAATATTCCGTACTATTATTTTTATTATTATTTATTTTTAAAAAACTATATAAGTTATTAGCGTCTAAATAATCTATATTTTTACTTAAAAACTTCATCAAGCGTTTTTATTATTTTTTATTAAATTAAACTACAGAATAAATAATAGTACAAGCAACTAAACTGAATTGCTAAAAAAGAAACTTACAGACCTAGATTAGGGTGTAGTGAATCTAATGAGACTAAAATTGTCACATTTCGTAAAGGTTTATGGGGGTGAAAACGTTACCGCCCGAAGCAATATTTCAAAAAGGAAATGTAGGCAATTACTTCCAAGATTTGTAACTCTCTCTCTGTCGCACGATACGGCGATAAAGAGCGAGCGGTATGAAACAGATATCATTTTTGAAAATACCCACTCGCACCGCGTATCGTTCGGCACTTCGCAATTCCCTTAAGAAAAATTATATAAGAGGAAAGTCGATAGGTAAATTATTCCACGACATGTTAATATTCGTAACTAGACAAATCACTCTTTATCTTCCCAGCGATGACTTCACGACATACGTAGTCGATGACGCGAAACAAGAATGATGTCGACGCGCGACAGGTCCCCGCGGTTCAACCAATGCAAATTGTCAATTAAATTGCTCGCGTGCAAACATGCATCTGCAGTGGGCTCAATTACACACAACTACCGTGAAAAATTAAAATAAATCCCGATGTACGACGCGCGTGCACGCAACAGCAACACCGCAGTCGAAAGTGAAATCCTCACCAGGAAGTCTATTTGATCCTAAGTATTTTTTATAGGATCCTAAGATGAAATGCCTTGATTCCAGTTAAAAAAGATCTCCGGTTCTCTACCCTCACCATACGAAACACAGCAGCATAGAGCTGCTATTTTACGCTCGGTATTCTGTGAGAGCTTGGTCCTACCCCGATCGAGCAGACCCATTCGCTTGCTTCAACCATAATATAGCTGCAGCGCGGCTCTACCACGTATAAAATTGTTGCTAGAAATTGGTCAAGATGAACCACAGACGTTTTTAACGTTTTACAGTAATGGACGAAATCTTCTACTTATATCAATCTAGATTAGATTACATTCTGTCCACAGACGTCCTTCCTTGAAGAAATTAACTTTTTATTCGTAACGTGGACGTAATCGTATAATATCACTCTTTGATAAAGTAAAGAATAAAATGCGCTTCAATCTCTTCTTTTACTATATTGTGCAGTGGACACCGAAGAACTGGTACGCCGCTAACGAGTGCCTCAGCTTGTTAGTAGTTAGTCGCAGCATTCGAATGTTCGAAATGTATTGTATCAAAAAGAACAATCACACGATTTTCTCCCTACGTAATACTGCTGTTCGTACCGTTTGCATGCTTTTGCATAGAATTACATTAAATTGCTAGTTAAAACATATGGACAGTAGAAAAAATAAAACACATTTGTTATTTTAAAATTTTAAGTGTGCCGTTTTTAAACAAGGAACTATTATAATTTCGTCCGTCCAAAAAGTCACAGCATCATAACTGTTTTTGTTTTTGATCAAAACTTTGATTTATATATAGCACACCTCGATCGCGAAGTAAGAGGTGAACTGTTTTTGTATATTCTTCCGCTTATAGGTGTCAATTTTAAAATTTTATGGAATAAAAAATTTGTTTTTATGTACTTACTTTCCCTAGGTTATGTGTGTGTTGAATAAACCCCACATTATCACATATTACAAAAGTTATTTGAAATAACTATGAGGTTTCATAAAATACCTTCTGCTTAATAACAATATGAATAAATTTTTACGTGATAGAGCTATGCTGCAGCTATATTAGTCGTATAGTTGTAGCACGAATGGGTCGGCTCGACCGGGGAAGTACCACGCTCTCACAGAATACCAGCGTCAAATAGCATCTTCATGCTGCTGTGTTTCGTATGGCGAGTGTAGAGAACCGGAGACCCTTTTTACTGGCAAAAAGGGGCATTCTATCTTAGTCCGCACGGGTGACAACGTGTCTGCATTTTGATTCGCAAACGAGGATAAATGTAGATGTCTATGGGCCACAGCAACCACTTACCTTCAGGTGGACTGTGTGCTCGTTTGTCACCCTATCCTATAAAAAAACATGAAATTTTTGAGTGTACTGAAATGTGTCCCTTCATCGTAAATTTTTAAACTTTTACAAATTCAAAAGTATACATAAAATACAAATATCAATTTGTGAGAGACTGGTGTCTATACAAGGATTTCCTGAATGACAGATTACCAGCCCCCAACTCAGGAAAAGCCTACATCCTGAATAATAGTATGTATATGAGAAAAAAGACCTCCGGCAACGCATCTGCAATTCCCCTGGGGTTGCGGTTGTTCATGGGCGGCGGTAGTCACTTACCATCAGGTGAGCCGCATGCTCGTTTGCCCCCTCTCCTATAAAAAAAAATTCTAGCATTTGAACTTAGAAAAGTTGAATTTGTTATAATCTGCTTAATGGAACCTTACCTTACGCGTTTCAACACGCATTTTGTTAGCTTTTCAACCAACTTCAAAAAAACGAGGTAGTTCGGAATTCTTTAGAATATTTTTTATTTATGATCAGCGAGAACTTTTATGATTCAAGATACTCTGATTTCTATTGTTTATTAGAATAGGGACACCAGGTTGATGATGGGATACGTAAGAAAATCATCAAACTATATATGTATATGTATTACACATTAATTATTTGCCACATCAACCAATTTAACCGACGAGCGTGTATGCGTAGGTATATGGATGTGGAGGAAGCGAGAGAGGTGTGTCAGGATCGTGCCAAATGGAAGTACATAATCTCTGCCTACCCCTCTGGGTGACAGGCGTGAGTGTTTATGTTTATCAACCAATTTCGAGGATTATATTCTTTATTCTTTTGAATTCTTTGAAGTCGTTTTTACTTTTCGAAATTTTATTTATTACATATTAAAGTTCAATTATTAGTTATGTTAATGTTTTTACTGAAACTGGAAATGGTTAAAAATATTTGGAAACGAGAATACGACAGAGCTCTTGTCTGTCGTGTTTCTCGGTAATCGACTTTGCAATGTCGACGAGCGGCTTTGATTGGAGCAATCATGCAAGCGAAATATAAAATCATTAAGAAATCGTGACGTCAGCTGACGAGAATTCATTAATTTCTTATACTCGGTCGTCGTTATAAAAACGCTCCATTGTATCATTTTGATGCTTTAACGATTTCCAAAAACGCCGCGCTGTGGAATTTGTGGGAATAATTGAAGTGTTCCTCTCATCAGTACCTAAACTTATATAACCTTATTATTCCCTATTCTGTCAATAAACAGATGGATTTCCTGAAGTCGCCACCTTACACGGCAAATCGTTGAGTGTCATGCTGATGTCATAATGGAGGCGCTAGTGGTTAAATCAAAGCTCTAGTAGTAGAACGTGGTTTTATACGTGGTAGAGCCATGCTGCAGCTATATTAGTAGTATAGTTGTAGCATGAATGGGTCGGCTCGACCGGAGAAGGACCGCGCTCTCACAGAATACCAGTGTATAATAGCAGCTTAACACTTTGTATCGTATGGTGAGTGTAGAGAGCCGAAGACCCTTTTATTGGAAACGAGGCATTCCATCTTAGCCCTCACGGGTGACAACGCATCTGCATTTTGATTCTTTATTGAGGATAGATGTGGATGATGATGATGATCAAATGGGCTGTGTGCTCGTTTGTCACCCTATCCTATAAAAAAAAAGAACGTTTTGTACGGATCTTTTTATATGTAGGTATCTGTCACTGATTTTTCCATTATGTCGACTTCGATAAGTTTTGTGGGATGGTTCACCAGCGCTGCACGCTCGTCTACGAACTGTGTCGGACCTCGTTCGCGTATGCGCATGAATCCCTCTCCCGCAACCACTAACCCTCTTTACAAGCATCCAGTCGTGGGCTAACATATGATGTTAACTAAATAGAGAATATGTTAAAATACATGTTTGTCAGTTATCTGTAACCGCTTCTCTGCAAATAAATGATTTCACTTTATCTTATGTCTGAAACATTTTCTAAAGCCGTAAATATAATAATAGCTTGGATGGGCCCAATACGTGACTTGTGTGAACATAGGCTAACGTTTACAGATTTAAAATCGGATCTGAAATTCGGCAATCGGGTACCGGCCGGTCGATGTGAAAGCTACAAATGAAAGTGCATGAGATGCTAGTTGAATGGAGATGGGCATTACTCAACAATTTAAACAGAAGTGCATTGTGTTTTACTTCCGAAGACAAACAAGCAGGAAATGAACCGAAATGCGGGACAGACATCGCGGTCCATTGTTCGGGAGGTCGCGTCGATTTCGTAACGATCGTTATGCAAAAACGACAAATCTGGATGGGAAGCGATAGTGTTTACTCCGTGACCTGAGAAATTAAAAACAAAGGTTACGAGTGGCACGACAATGCGGGCGAATATTAAGGAGCTTACACACTGGCGTGGAACGACCGCTTTAAATTTTCGATTTTGTGTAGACAACTTTGGACTTATCACATCAATAAGAGCACTGACAGAAGAAAACAAAACTCAGGAGTCGACACGTACGGATGAACTTCTGTTCCATGCAGGGCTGAAACTGAAACGTTGCACCCAAAGGCTCAACCACTACACAAGCCGAGCCACTTTCGATTAACTTACTGCCAATAAAATTTATGTTAAAATGCGTCAACTAACAATTAAAAACATTTTAGGGCCTGTTAAGCTTCATTGCATTCAACGTAGCGTCTCTCACTAGTGCGCTACTCTGTCAAATATGTGTGTAAACTTGTCTCTATCTCTAGCAGTAAGATATTTAATGAAAAGAAAACTGCCAGTTTCGATAGTCGCGATTGCTAAATTAAGACCACTTAGCAGATCGAATCACTCGCTATAACTTAACAATAAATCTGAACGCTTAAAATTCACTGCCGGCACAGGCGCCGGTGTGTAGACACCTTTAGCATTATGTAACTTAAAATAAGATTAAGAACAAAATTTAATTCAAGCGAGCTGTTCATTCAATGAGAGCGTGTACAGTGAATGATTATTAAAAATCTTTAATGTAGACTTTTTCCAGTAACAGCCTCGAGCCGCAACTGTTTTATAATAATAAAAATAATTTTGTGTTTTATTTTTATTATTCAGCGCTCAGCGCTTTTAGAGAAAAATTACTTATTATACTCGGCTAGATTGACCGGGGTTAAGATAAACCGATAGCGTATTCCCTACATCCCAAATTCCTACACAATCATAACCACATCATCAGCAATGAAATGAAATCAAAAAATGTTTATTTCTTTAACATTGACTTTTATTTTTACAATCGAAAAAAACTTGTAAAAATAAAAAGTTTTTGTATTATGTATACTTATGCCAGGAGGCCCCGTTCCTCTGTAATACTTATAATGAAGTATTGCGTCGAACTATGTGGTATGCGGGCACAATAAGTATATGATGTGGAAAAAATTTAATTGAAACACATTGAATCTTTGAGTATACATAAGGAAGCTATATGAATATTTATGTTTATTTATTTTTTATTACTATTATATTGTGACCACGTGTTGTTGAGTATTGTTTAATTAACGTTTAATGAGTGAAGTCAAGTTGTCAGAAAACCCAGTCAAATTCTACCTCTTTGAGACTTAAAAATTGTGTGTGACACACACTTTAGAATGCCCCCTTGCAGTATCTTTCTACCACTTATACAATTTTGGTAAAATTGTGTTGTAGAGAAAGTATTTCTGTGATGCAATTTTATTAACAGTTACATTTCATCAGGTCGAAGTGCGCGAACAAAGGAGTTAAGTGCCAGATTGGAAGACAGACTGTGGCTGGTCGTTGAACGATGAATAAGTACAGTTGGACGAAAAATTTAAAGCTCAAATCAATGTGCAAATATAGATTTGAATCATTTGCGCTTTAGTGCCGTTACAAATATTTCCGAGAAACAAAAGATCAAACGTGAAAAACTGCGTTAGTGAAGCAACGCAAGCAGCAAAGCCGACGAAGACGATAAGATATAACCCGTAGCTTATCGTATAATGAGGTCACAAATTAAAGATCTATATCTCGTGGTACCTACTTATAATAAAATACAGATATAATTGTAATAGTCATCATCGAATGACAGCTATTCAGTTTTTAAATTTAATCTTTAAATAAACTTTTATATTGTTAGCCCAATCTCATCATCAGCTAGCCCGCTATCGTAGCATATCAATAAAAATAGTAGTAGTTCCTAATGCACAGCCATATTCTGACTTGTATACTAAAAAAAAAACCGGCCAAGTGCGAGTCAGACTCGCGCACCGAGGGTTCCGAACAAATCCGTAGATATATAAGTTTAAAATTATTAAAAATATTTTTATTATATGATGTAACCAAAAATTTTTGCTTTTCGCAATTTTTCCTTTATCTGTACTATAAAACGTTGCTTCGTACCAAATTTAAGTTGTTGAGTTCACGGGAAGTACCCTGTAGGTTTTGATTCCCTTGCGAATGTCGAAAATTTGCGGCATAAACGGCTGTATCTTTTGATTGAGTTGGCTTAGAAGTTTGATTTTTTCACAGCTCCTAGGGACAGTAGACCTCAGTATTTGTTATGAATTTCAGCTTGATACCTCCACGCGTTCCTGAGAAAAAGGGTCTTGACAGACAGACAGACAGACGGACAAAAAAGTGATCCTATAAGGGTTCCGTTTTTTCCTTTTGAGGTACGGAACCCTAAAAGGGAGTATATAACAGACTTTGAGGTATTTGATCTTAAGTCTCAGAGGCTATTACTATAACAAACTACTACATCTTTGTTGATTAACATCAGGTGGTCTAAGAGCTGATTTATCAAATATTATTGTAAAGTATTGTCAGTTTCTGTACGTAATCTGTCCCTATCATCATTTTTTTGTTGTATACTTTACGAGGAATGTATCGTGAGAATCTTACCCGAGAATGTTGGGATGTTTCAACTTGTTCATGAGCTGCACTTCGCGCAACATGTTGGGCCGGTTGGCGCGCTGCTGGTTCATCTTCAGCACCATCACCTTGCCTGTCGTCTTGTGGGTCACCTGCACAAACAAAAAATAAAGTTATCTTTTGTATTATCATAATATTTTAATGGGGATTTTAGAAAATACAGTTACTAATAGGGCGTATTACATTAATTAAAAGGTTGTTATAGATAAAAACCGCTCAATTATTAGATAAAGCCTGACTCCACATACTTAATATCTAATACTTATTTCCGACATTTAATCGGTAACTAAAAATTTTGCCTTCACAAATTAATATCTGCAAGGTCCTCAGGCCGATATAATATGTAACATCTTATTTAAATTAATTTAAACTAGTATGGATTGCGATTGGTCGAAATTAAACCATTTAATTCGTTAAAGCGTTACTAATGGAAAAAGAAAAATCATATTTTTTTAACTATTATAACTCAGTGCATAACTACTATCAAACCTGATAGTAAGTGGTGATAGATCCGAAGATGACAAAGCACACTAACTTAGTTCAAAAGCCAATTCACTTTTGCCTTAAAGACCTTTATCGGATACAAAGAGTTGCTGGCAAATTACTCCACACTTTTGTTTGTACGCTAGAAGAACGACAAAGGAAACCGTTTGGTTCGAATGCGTGGTATACTGGTATATCGGCTGCGGGAGTGTCTGGTAGTCCAATGATAGAACTGAGACGAATGAATTAATTCAAGCAATTCCTCCTAAAAAACACTGAAAGACTGATTTTTACTTGATATTTTCTTTTTTGTATGTATGTTTATTATATAGGCAACATAACTTCAGTACAGCACCTTTCGAATATTATGCCTCCCCCCCACTCTCCCCTCTTTTAATAATAAATGCTAAAACACGCGCAATAATTTTGAAGTTCACATATATAATATAAAGAATAATAAATTTTTTTAAAGTATCAATCCCATGGTGTTCAATGCAGTTAAAATTCGATCAGTCGATAACATCGTTAAAATAATTTATCAGCATTTAGTCAAGTGTTTAAGTTTAATGCAATAAAACAAAAAATCTATACCTAAACAATTCATAAATTACAAAGATCAAATCTCGAACTCGCGCATTGTTTCTTTTCATCTTAGTTTTTAGGATGGACATTTTATCCGAACACATTTTAAGGTAGTCCAAAACTTTATTGCATTATAATAAATAACAATTTATTATAATGCAATAAGTTAACTGTTAATTTCTAAGTCAAATGTATATTTAAATTAGGTCTGTTAAGCTGGAATGATCATTTGGGCAAAATCACTTAAATTTTTACTAAATATTTAGTGCTCATTTAGTGCTAATTTAGTGCTGCAAATTTAAATTTCACGCCAAAATAGCTTGATCAAAAATTAGAAAACTGCTAGCTTTTAATTAAGCTAGCAGTGTTCTACCTACTAAAACGATAACCGCTTAATACAGCACCAAATACAAGCATCAATAATTTAGTGCTCATTTAGTGTTGCCAATATACGCAAAATCAAATATTGGGAAAATATATATTTTTTTAATATTATAAATTCTGCTACTTTGACATCTTTAGCAGAGTATGTAATGAAAAAATTTACATCAGAGTGGACTATCACCTAATGATATAAGACAATAAATTAGTGCTCATTTAGTGCTGTCGATATACGAAAACGGATTTGAGAAATTATTATTTTTAAGAACCGTCAACTGCTATTTTGACATCTTTAGCAGAGTATGTGATAAAACATTGACATCCAAGTGAATTATCACCTAATGATATGAGATAATCAATTAGTGCTCATTTAGTGCTGTCGATATACGAAAACGGATTTGAGAAATTATTATTTTTAAGTACCGTCAACTGGTACTTTGACATCTTTAGCAGAGTATGTGAGAAAACATTGACATCCAAGTGAATTATCACCTAATGATATGAGATAATCAATTAGTGCTCATTTAGTGCTGTCGATATACGAAAACGGATTTGAGAAATTATTATTTTTAAATATCGTAAACTTCTACTTTGACATCTTTAGCAGAGTATGTGATAAAACATTGACATCCAAGTGAATTATCACCTAATGATATGAGATAATCAGTTAGTGCTCATTTAGTGCTGTCGATATACGAAAAAGAATTTGAGAATTTTCTTTTAAGTACCGTAAACTGCTACCTTTACATCTTTAGAAGAGTATGTACTGTAAAAATTGTCATCGACGTGAATTATCACTTAATGATATAAGATAATCAACTAGTGCTCATTTAGTGCTGTCGATATACGAAAAAGAATTTGAGAATTTTTTTTTAAGTACCGTTAACTGCTACCTTTACATCTTTAGAAGAGTATGTACTGTAAAAATTGTCATCGACGTGAATGATCACTTAATGATATGAGATAATAAATTAGTGATCATTTAGTGCTGTCGATATATGGAAAAGGACTTGAGAAATTATTATTTTTAAGTACCGTAAACTGCTACTTTGAAATCTTTAGCAGAGTATGTGATGAAACATTGCCATCCAAGTGAATTATCGCACAATGATATGAGATAATCAATTATTGCTAATTTAGTGTTGCCGATATATGAAAAAGGATTTGAGAAATTATTATTTTTAAATACCGTTAAGTGCTACTTTGACATCTTTAGCAGAGTATGTGATGATACATTGACGTTCAAGTGAATTATCACCTAATGTAATAAGATAATAATTTAGTGCTCATTTAGTGCTGCCGATATACTCAAATACAAGAATTGGGAATATGTATTTTTTTAATATCATGAACTCAGCACTAAATGAGCACTAATTGATTATCTCATACATATCATTAGGTGATAATTCACTTGGATGTCAATGTTTCATCACATACTCTGCTAAAGATGTCAAAGTAGCAGTTAACGGTACTTAAAAATAATAATTTCTCAAATCCGTTTTTGTATATCGATAGCACTAAATGAGCACTAATTGATTATCTCATATCATTAAGTGATAATTCACGTCGATGACAATTTTTACAGTACATACTCTTCTAAAGATGTAAAGGTAGCAGTTTACGGTACTTAAAAAAATTCTCAAATTCTGTTTCGTATATCGACAGCACTAAATGAGCACTAATTGATTATCTCATACATATCATTAGGTGATAATTCACTTGGATGTCAATGTTTCATCACATACTCTGCTAAAGATGTCAAAGTAGCAGTTGTAGGTACTTAAAAATAATAATTTCTCAAATCCGTTTTCGTATATCGACAGCACTAAATGAGCACTAATTGATTATCTCATATCATTAGGTAATAATTCACTTGGATGTCAATGTTTCATCACATACTCTGCTAAAGATGTCAAAGTAGCAGTTGACGGTACTTAAAAATAATAATTTCTCAAATCCGTTTTCGTATATCGACAGCACTAAATGAGCACTAATTGATTATCTCATATCATTAAGTGATAATTCACGTCGATGACAATTTTTACAGTACATACTCTTCTAAAGATGTAAAGGTAGCAGTTTACGGTACTTAAAAAAAATTCTCAAATTCTTTTTCGTATATCGACAGCACTAAATGAGCACTAATTGATTATCTCATACATATCATTAGGTGATAATTCACTTGGATGTCAATGTTTCATCACATACTCTGCTAAAGATGTCAAAGTAGCAGTTGACGGTACTTAAAAATAATAATTTCTCAAATCCGTTTTCGTATATCGACAGCACTAAATGAGCACTAATTGATTATCTCATATCATTAAGTGATAATTCACGTCGATGACAATTTTTACAGTACATACTCTTCTAAAGATGTAAAGGTAGCAGTTTACGGTACTTAAAAAAAATTCTCAAATTCTTTTTCGTATATCGACAGCACTAAATGAGCACTAATTGATTATCTCATACATATCATTAGGTGATAATTCACTTGGATGTCAATGTATCATCACATACTCTGCTAAAGATATCAAAGTAGCAGTTGACGGTACTTAAAAATAATAATTTCTCAAATCCGTTTTCGTATATCGACAGCACTAAATGAGCACTAATTGATTATCTCATATCATTAGGTAATAATTCACTTGGATGTCAATGTTTCATCACATACTCTGCTAAAGATGTCAAAGTAGCAGTTGACGGTACTTAAAAATAATAATTTCTCAAATCCGTTTTCGTATATCGACAGCACTAAATGAGCACTAATTGATTATCTCATATCATTAGGTGATAGTCCACTCTGATGTAAATTTTTTCATTACATACTCTGCTAAAGATGTCAAAGTAGCAGAATTTATGATATTAAAAAAAATATTTTCCCAATATTTGATTTTGCGTATATCGGCAACACTAAATGAGCACTAAATTATTGATGCTTCTATTTGGTGCTGTATTAAGCGGTTATCGTTTTAGTAGGTAGAACACTGCTAGCTTAATTAAAAGCTAGCAGTTTTCTAATTTTTGATCAAGCTATTTTGGCGTGAAATTTAAATTTGCAGCACTAAATTAGCACTAAATGAGCACTAAATATTTACCAAAAATTTAAGTGACTTTGCCCAAATGACCATTCCAGCTTAACAGACCTATTTAAATTTATATTGATACTGAATACTGAATAAGTACTACATTAGAATACAATAAAGGACTCATATTATATCAAGAAACGGATAAGACAAAGATCAGACAAATAAAAGATAAACGAACAAACATTTTCTTTCGAAAGTCGCAAATGTATGTACATGGCTTTGAACTTCGATGTACCAGATAAGGATCTCATCAAATATTTTCTGACATCACCTCGCAATTCCACTATTCATTGTCTTTATATTAGTGTTAAATAATTACAACTATGTCAACTAGATGGAATGACGACCTGATTAGATATTCAGGCAGTCGATGGAGCTCAGGACTGTTTTGTGGCATTCGTTTGGGGAGGCGGATCAGTAGTGATCTTGTGAAGAGCTATAATAATAATGATAATGATTATAATGAATGGCTACTAGTAATAGTAAACCATCCTCTCGCGATCACATAAATTATAGCATAATATGTGCATATC